TTCCATGGGGTCCTCCTTGGTACCTATATGAATGTTCTGTTCTGGCTGGAAGGGAACATGTGATTGGCTTAGCAGAGCAAGAATTCCTGCACTGTGGCTATTTCTGTTTGGGGATATGGGTTTTCTCTTAAGCTGACTTCTGGGAAAATGGCCTTGGAAATGGAAATGACCCCACCTCCTTCTTGGACCAAACACAGCTGCTGGGAATGCTGTCCAGCTATGGAAACCTGGGTGGACATTTCTGGGGATTGGGTGGGAGGCTGGCAGTGCACAGGAAGGTGTGTCTGGCAGTAGCTAATCCTGTCTCTGTCCCCACCATGACCATTGTGATGGTGTTGAGGGCAGGAATCCACTGAGATGGCAGGTCCTGGTGATCTGCTGTGAGTGGTTTAACCTAGGGGCATGGGCCATCTCCATGGGGGACAGTTAGTCAGTGATAGTCTCAGATTTGAGGGAGCTGGAGGCCTCTGTGAGTCACTTGGCTTCCATTTATTTATTTATTTTTATATTTTAGGGAAGGGTCTATAGGGTGTTCAGGGTCTTGCTACTAGATCAGACTCGTAGTGAATGTTCTGTTTACAGCCTCCCAAGAGCTGGGATTACTGGTGCGTGCCACTACGCCCAGTCTCAATTGCTATCTCAGCGTGCCCCTGGGGCAGGGCTGGCACGGCAGGCCAGGGGATTGAACCCCTGGCCCCTGTTCCTGCTTGCAGGTGCTTTAATCTGCTGAGCTATTTGGCTGGCCCTTTTGGCTTCCCTTTATTTTGGCATTAGACCAAGTTTATATTTCTGGTGAGCTGCCACACAGTTTTAATTCTCTGAGAGTGGCCTGTTTTCCTCAGGGGGAAATGGACACACCAAGGGGCCTATGTGTCAGTACCCCTGTTGTAGGATTCGAACCAAGACAGATGGAGCTAAAACTTGTGGTGAGGTCATTGGCCTCTTGAATCCATTTTAAACCATGGAGTAATAATATATCTGCCCATGAAGTGATTGTGATCATCTTACACAACACTAGCCCCAATGCCTGTCTCATGATACATGTCAAATACTGGTTCCCTTTTATTCTTTCCAGCTAACATATGGGAGCTTAACATTTGTTACTGGACAAGCGAAGAAAAGGATGGGTAGGCTGGGACTGGCAAATGGAGAATCCATTTCTCACAGAGGAGAGAAGCATCAGATTCCTGCTCCCCCATCATGAACTCTTGGTTCAGTTGGACAGGTGTCCTGTCAACCTGAAGTGGCCCAGCTTGTGTTGGTGGCTGGCTTCACTGTTTAGGACTCTGCTCAGGGGTCACTCCTTTTGAGGAACCCTTGCACATCACTCATGGTTTAGCTGTTTCCTTCTCTCTTTCTGCACTTGTACTTCATTGAATTATAAATATGTACACAATATAAAAATAGTGCTGTTGCATGGCTGTATCTCTAGCAGGCCCGTCAGGGGCTAACACATCTTGCCACTTCCAGGCTTTGCTTACCTAGAGCTGGGCTGCCTGCCACACCCCAGGGAATGGTGAAAAATGTCAGTGAATTTATCAATTATGGCTTGGATCCTCTTTGTCTCTGTCTCTCTCATTTATCAATCATCTATCTATATTTGTCATGTGTTATCATTTATATGTACATATCACCTATCTATGTATGTTATCTATATAACATCTATCTCTATGTATCAACTACCTTTACCTATCAACATCTATTACTATCTATCTATATATCTCTCTACTGTCATCCACTTATCAAATCTACTTTTGCCTTCTTTCATCAATTTATATCATCTATCTGTGTGTCTCCATTTATCGTCGATAATGGAATGGGGATAGTAGATAAGAACTTTGACCAAATAGAGTATTGTGGGTGAGCGAAATTAATACATGTGGAATTTGAGGACTAAAGCCTCACCCAGAAGAAATGTTCAATAAATATTGCTATCATCATATATAAGACCCAGGATTTTAACAGCTCCGGCGTTGCTCAGATCCCGTGAGCTGGAGTCCTGTTTCCATCCCTTACTGGTTGTACGTCCTTGGCTAGGTTGACAATTTGAGTCTACTTCCTCATTTGCAGAGTGGTGATAATGATTTCATGGGTCAAAGTAGGTGAACAATGAAGTGGTGCATGGAAAGTGCTAGTGTGTCCTCAGGGAGTGTTGTTGCTCTTGTTTTATGATGCTTTATCTAACAGTAGAGTGAAGGGAGGAGCCAGACTGGACAGAATGTCTAACCAGTAGCTCACACTGGACCACCGTGAGAGAACTGTCATGGGCCACATAGAAAATACGCAACATAGTTAACATATATAAATAACAAAACTCCCTCTTTAAAAACATGATCATGCCCTAGGTGTATCCACACCGTAGGCTGCAGGTTGGACACACCTGCTCAAGGTAGGAAATAAACAGGTTCCTACTGCCAATCATCCTGTGTGTATCCCACTGCCGGATGCAGGCAAGTGTCTTGTTTCCTAACTTGTCTTTCTCCACCTGACAAGAAAATACAGATGTGTGTCAAAGCTCAGCTCTTTGAGTCACTTACTTTTAAGTGTCATGGACCAAGTGCTACCTTAGGAAGAATTTAACAGAAGCCCAGGAAGGCATGGCTTCCCATTTTCCATGTCAGCTATGGTTATCTGGCTGTAACCTGACAGTACTCACAGGGGAAAGCAGCTCAGGATCCTTAGAAGCAAATCAAATGGTGAAAGGTGCCAAATCAGCTTTCAAACATGGGGTCACTAGGAAAGATCAGCTTCTGGTCCTGCTAGGATGCCATACTGAGACTCAAGGAGCTTTGGAATGGAACATTCCATTTCATCATGAGGTGAAGAGCTGGAAAGTGATAAAAATGGTGGCTACTGGTGCTTGAGGTCTACTTCCAATGCCTTCCTTCCCTGACTCTGCCTTGCTGTGCACTGTGGGCCCCCTTGGTTTGGCTGAAGGAGAGGAGGGCTGCTCTTGCTTTGATGTCTGACAAATCCCACCTCCTGGTCTTAAGTTGCTCTTGTATGTGCTGAGGCTACATGGCCTAGTGAAGGGCCCTTTATTTGGAGTCCACAGGTAGACCACAAGAGTGCTGTGGAGCCCTTAAGTAATGACTAAAACTGTTGATATTTGTGTTTCGGGGAAAATTGTTGAATCTAATATGTAGAGAATCATGGAGACTCTGATGCCTCTGAAGGTATAAACCTTCTGCCATTCTGGCTACTCAGAGTCCTAAAGCTTGATGAACATGTTCCTGGTGGTACACAACATGATTTAGGTAGTACACAAATCCTTTTTTGTTACATGACTTATATGTGTTTGATGTTAGAAAAAACACTGGCATGTGATATTGCGTGAATATTATTTCTTTGGAGCAGATCATCTTGCTTTGAATGCAGCATGGTTTATGTACATGTATAGTGAATGCAGTTGCGCAAAGGAGGGTTGGTGCCTAATGTAAGCCCCCTCCAAATCTGGTGCAGTTAGAGGAGCTGAGTCCCAGAGAAGCGGAAAGGAGGCCACAGAGGAAGCGGATGGTAAGCTTAGGAGCGCAGCCCTGCGGTCTCTCTAGCTATCACAATTCTCCCTGACCGTCTCAGGGCTCCTCTGAGAATGTTCTTTTAGCCCAGTGAGTTCCCACCTGGGCCCTGTGCTGCTTTCAGAGCAGTAGCTTTCATCCCAGGAAGACGAGAAGCACTAAGGCAGTCACATCTTCATCCTTGTGTCGCTCAGTGTAGAGATTTACTTGTTCATGTCTTACCGTTCCTGCACTTGGCTTGTGCCTTACAAAATTGTTATTTCTGGGTCGTGATTTCCTTACCATAAACTAATACTACATGGGTAACTGTTTAGAATTGAGACAATATGATTCTTTTATTAGTTTTCTCCTCCAAAAATACACTGCAAATGAAGACTTCTAATAAATTCACAAACTGAAAGCAAAATTTTCTTTAAGTGAAATACTCTCAACTTAAGCTGCTTCCCATCCACTAGACAGAAGGTAGAGAAAATGAATTGTTGAGGCAGCTTTGGAGACATTAACTCAGGCCCAGCTTTCTAGACAGCATCCTCTTCCTCCATAGGCTTCCTCTGTAAAATTACATACCTTTTCAATTCATGTAGGGCCCATCCCAGAGGTGCTCCATGCAGAACCTTCTAGAAGAAGCTTTCTAGAGGTCTTAAGTTAGGTCTTAAATTGGGATTATGGTGGGGAGGATGAACCACATTTATTTTAAGTGAACTCCATTCACTCTGATATCAAACTGCTTTTCTGCATCTCCACTTTTTTGGAGGGAGAGAATGTTCAAGACTATTTTCCAGATATGTACAAGCTTAAAGCGGGCAGAGATGCTTGATCAGACTTTACAAATCAACATCTTTATTGGACATTTTTGTTCTAGGTACAAGGGAGACTGATGGTTTGCCACTTTCAGTTACCGAGATAGGAGGAGGGGAGGAGGCATCACAGGAGACACACCTAAGAACAGAGCAGCCTTTCTCAGAGCCAGGGGTGTCACTGCTTCCAACAGACTGCTTCACATTTAGAACCCCAAGCACTAAGTAACCAAGAGGTGGCCTTTGGAAGTCAGTGGGAGAAATAAGCTGGGAAAGGTTGAAGGGAAAAACCAAGGGACATGTAAGTAGAGGATTATATGGAGCCATTGAAAAGGACAAAAAGCAAGAGTAACAAAGCAGCAGATGGAATCTGGCCCTGCATGGCCTTGCCAAATAAACTCTGAGAAGCCCTGTGTAGAAAGCATTCTCTTTATGTCCCCTAAGCATTCATGGTGCATCCCTGTTGAAGTCTCAGGCTGTTTCTATGGCACTTAAGAGAACTGAGTATAGCACGGTTCATGTGTCTCTTCTCTCCCCAGCCTGGGTCCTCTTCTCTGCCTCCTGTAATAAATCTCTGACTCAAGTGAAGTGAAAAAGAAAACATAGAAAAATGTGGTGATGGAGGGGGAGAGGAGCTACTGGTTGGTTCTGATGTTTCACAAAACAGAGAAATCCTCTAAGAGTTGAGTAAACGGTGTTTATTTTTTTGTTGATTTTTTTCAATCAAATGGAATTGCTTAATTTAAAAAAAAAACTTATCGTTCTCCTTAAATACTACAGACAACCTCATTTTACCGCAGCAGACACCTAGAAACAAAACACTGGACCCACCAGAGAAAACTGGGCAAGAAAGCATCAGAAATTCAAGTCAACTATGGGAGAATGACTGTCAGCTGGCAGCTCTCAATTCTAAACAAAGTGGCCCAAGCCTATGGGTTTGACAAAAGGTTCTTAGAACTGGGGAGCTGGGAAATTGGACTCCTTTTTAATCCTCTTCCAATTGTTTTATGCATAGGGAGATTAAAGTCAGTGCATCAAATAAAGACCCAAAGAAACATTTAAAAACTCGTTTGACTAATATTCAGTATGTGAGATTAAGTAATAACTTGTCCTCCTAGTTAACCTTGTCCTGGAATATATATAGGTTATTTGTAGCCGCCACTGCTATAATATTTTCTGAAGGATGCCAAGCTGTATGCAAGATCTTTTTGCTAAAGTCCAGGCTGTCAACACTGATCTCGTCTTTTCTCCGCTTGCCCCCCACGCACACTTTTCGGGGTTTGAGGATAGCCCGGGGTTTGCTGTTTTCCCTCGAGGCCTCAAGGGTCACATCACGCTTGGTGTTTCGGTCGAACATCCTGAAGAAGTTGTTGTAGGACCCAGTCATGATGACACTGCAAGGGAGAGAGAAAATAGGGAATGACTAAGTGTTGGAGAGAAAGGCAGTGACCTGTCCCCATTGTGTCTCTCTAGAGCAAACAACCCACATCCTGGCCATCTTATGGGAGACAGGTTTATTTAAATGAAAAAACAAAAACAAAAACAAAAAAACGTGTTCTGTACTTTGGCCATTGACTTCCACTTAAATCACTAAGAGCAACAAATTCTTTGGTTATGTTTGGAAAAAAAGAATGGTGATAACCCTTCATGTTATCTCCTTTTGTTCAGTTGTTTCCTTTTGGTGCTTTGGTTTACTGAGTCTGGTTGTAACCATCTCTGTCTTACCTACCTTCCATTAGGACTAGGACATTAGGAGGGGCCTGAGAAAGCAGGAACAAGTTTGCAAACAGCAAACTGTCCCACATCTTGAAAGCACAGATGTGTGGGGGATCCTTGGGCTGTCCAACCTCTAGGGCTTCATCCCATCTGCCTGGAAATGTGCTGGGAGTGGGTGTGGTGTCCTGGGCAGCTTCCTCCTTCCTAAGAATAGCTCTAAACCAGCCTTTGCAGACAGCTTGTCCACACAATCAATGTCCTGGTCTTAACTCAGGAAGAGCATGAACAAAGTGAAATTTTCAAAGGATTGGAAATCATAGAGTAAGATTTTGTAATAAATGGTCAGATGGTATCTATAATTTTTTTTTTTACAAGTTGTTATTTCTCCGGAGATTTATAGTTAAGAGAGTACTGAGTGCCTAAAGCCCTCCAGCAATGCAGTACTAAATCTTTAATGGTGACATTGGGTGGGGTGACGGGCTGCACACAGCAGTCCTTGGGGGTGGCAGGTGCACATGTCCTCAGGTGCCATTCCAGGGTGGCTGCACCCCCAGAGAGGGTGGGTGTCTGCTGAGTGAGAAGGGAAGCCCAGCATCATCTGTTTGTTCATGATTCAGGCTGTGTAAGGAAGTGGCAGGAAAACTGACAAGGCTGGGCCTCCCAAGTATTTTGGGAGGTACTTGGTTAAATGTGTAAGTTAACCATGGGTTAGGTTTTATTACTACGGCCCAAGAAACAGACGTGTTGAGGTGTATCTCCGCGGGAGAGTAAACTATTAGTCTTTTGTCAGATAGGGTGTTGGGGGCATCACCGCCATCATCTTCTTCCAACTCCCATGACCCACGGCAGGGCGCTCCAGGGAGAAGTGAGGAATCTGCAGTCATAGTGCTAGTCAGGCCCAGAGTCACACATGACCGACTCCAAGCCAGGAGCAGCAGGCACTTGGTCTCACTGCCTTTTGGGCACTGATGCTTGCTTCCCTTAATGTGGCCTAATTTCTTTTGCAAGAAGTCAATGACATTGGTTTTTTTTGAACACATCTCTACTTTAAAATCACTAAAACCAAAATTTCTTCATTGTGATGTTAAGGGAAGAATTTTAGGAGTCAAATTCACAACTTCTTTACTTTTGTGTTTATAATGTACTAATGTGAGGTTGGGTGGGTTACACTTTATCTCACTAAATCTCAGCCTTTCCTCAACTACAAAATAGGGTGATGAAAACAATGCCACTGGATTGGGCTGGGGGTGAAGTGAAAGGACACGCGTGTTGGTGCCTGGCACACAGATGCTGCATAAGTATTGTTTTTTAAATTCTAGCCTAAGATAGAAGGGAAACTAGAGCAATAACAACCAAGATATACTAAACATCAGCCAGCTGTGATGGGTTATGTCTGTATGGCAAGAGGATCACAAGTGTGAGTAACTTAGTGAAAGCCTATCTCAAAAGAAAAAAGAAAACAAAACAAAACAAAACATACAAACCAGGGCTGGAGATACAGCTCAGAGGGAAGGCCCTGGGTTCAATCACTAGTACAAATAAGTTCTATTAACAAGACATAAAAATAACAGGGCTGGTTTCTTTTCCTGTTAGCTTTTGTTTTTTTCTTGCTCTCTGTCCTATACCAACTACACAATATGACTTGGGACTTTTGGTATGTGGCGACCCCTGTAAGTCCAGCTAACCAGGTGGTTTATTTGGGTCAGTAATGGAAGGAAAGATGTCCTCAAATTGTCAAGAGAGAGATTGTGTTCACTCAAACCTCGAATGTCTTGCCACAACAATAAAATCTCGTAAGTTACCAGGCACTGTTAGTTGTAACCCCCACATCAAGGCACTAAGCCAGCCCTCAATAGCCCGTGCCTAGTTCTTGTGGAAGCCAGAGAATCATCTGTATTTGTCAAACTGAAAATGAACTATAGGGAGGCATTATGAAGTATTGTTGAAATCAAAGGCCTTAAAACAGTAATAAATCACTTTGAGGGAATGTGATAAATGAAGCTGAATAGAATTCAACTAATGAAGCACTGGGGGCTTTGGTCAGGTCTGCACTAACAGCTTTGAGGGATAATTTTTGATCTAGAAAGCTCACTTTGCAGTAATAGAAACTGTTCAGTTTGGAATCTGCTGGTGAGTTACCAGTGGTCTTCCTTAGGCAATGGTGACCCTGGCAGTCCTGAAAGGGAACCAGGGTTTCCTGCCTCTTTGCAGGCCTGACTTCAGGTTTCAGCCAGTCACACACAATATACATACTAGATAAGCCTCATTGTGACCTCCCTTTGGCTGTAACCTACCTAGGAAAAATTGCCCAGAGCCTTAAGCTAAGAGTCTATTTCTGGAAGGTTCTTCAGCCTCAGAGCCTTACTTACCTGTCGGACCCATTCCATACACACTCAAATTTGTCAAAAATGCAGTCATTTTCATAGAGGGAGCACAACTTGCTGCGGAGGTAGTCGTGGACCTGGAAGGAGACATTGAGGGGGGCAGTCATCAGCTGCACAGTGAGCACTCCTGCCACCACCTCCTCTCGTGCTGTGAGCTGTTCACCTCTGAGCGCCTGTGCCTTGAGTCAGATGGATCTGTGTGCAGGACTGTTGTGTTAGGATGGGTTGATGAGCTGCTCCTGTAGCCAATGTGTATGAAACCAGCGTGGTTACACAGGGCCCAATAAGGGGTAGAGGCCCACTTTTCTAGGTTGATTTGGCCTCAGGCATTTAGAGATACCATTAGCCAAGCTTTTGTTCAGTGACTATTTACTCAATGTCTGCTACTTGCTTGGGTCTTTGCAATGAACCAAATACCACCCTGATGCTTTCACTCCAACATGTGGGAGAGACTGTGTCACCAAGTAAATGCATAACAACATTTTAGGTTGTATTGAGATTATGGAACATAACAGTATGGAGAGGGGTCAGGAGGTCTGGTGGGCACTATTTTGTGTAGAGTAAGGTGTTAAGGCGTCATCTGATAAGGTGCCATAGGGGAGCAGGAGTTTGCTGGGAATAAGTGAGCGATGATGATATCTTGGGGAACAGCTCTCCCAGCCTGGGGCAGCATATGCAAAGGCCCAGAGGTGCAAGTCCTGGAGGAATTATGGTGGAGGGGTGGTAAGTAAGTAGATGACCAGTTCAAGTAGGCCTCTGTCTTGAAGAGGGTGAAGAGACACTGTAGAAAGGATTGCTAAGCTTGGTGTATTGGGATAGATTGGAAGGGGGCAAGGACAAGGGTGGGGAGACCAGTTATTACCCAGCTGACAGATGATGGCTTGGATTAGGGGAAAAGCAGTGGTAAGAAATATTCAAATTCTAGGTATGGCACAAGGAAATGCTGCTAGAAATTGAGTTAATGCTGAGATGCAAAGAGAAAACCAGGAATCGAAGCTGGCACTGGGATCTTTCTCCTGAGGAGGTGGAAGGTGGAAATGCCCTGCTCATTGCTGAGTGTGATTATTTGGAGCTGAGTGGATGCTGTGGGGAAAGGTGCAGCATGGAGGGTGTCCCGATTCCTTCTATGTCCATTTTCCAGTGGAAGCAGTAGCAGCAAAGTTAGAACCTAAGAGCGGGCAGGGGCACGGCGCAGGGAAGCAGGCTGGGACCGCCTGGGGAAGGGAATGCCCGACGAGGCTGGGCAGCACCACTGGGGACTCTCCTCCCGCAACACTCAGATGCTCAGGTGCAGGTACAAATAGACAGATGAATAAGGCTTAGAGGGTAGAGTGTACTGGGTTTCATGTTTTGAGAGTAATATTTTTGGAGTTTGCTAAAAAGGGGTAATAAAAAAAATAAGGGGCAATAGTCATTGGTATTTGCAATATGCTAACTGGTTATTAATGGCCCAGTACTTTATTTATACAACCTGATTTCATCTCTAAAGTAATTTTTTTTGATATAGGTACCATCATTCCCTTTAATGGGGCATGGAGCTGAGGGATGGAAAACGATTTGTCTAAGATCACAGAGGGGATTGAAGCCGGTGTGTAGGCTCTCAAGTGCTGCTGTTGTGCTCCAGCTCCTCAGCCTCACCTTAGCAGGGGCTCAGTCTGAGGCAAGGGGGCATGACAATGAGTACAAGAGAGGTCCAGAGAAGGAGCGACATGAGCGGGAGAGGGCAGAGGGTCAGTACGAAGATGGTATTTAACTTTGGATTAGGAGTGATGGCTCACTCTCCCTTCTTCTGCAAATTGACCCCAGGATATTGAGCCAGCAAGCTCGGTTGCGTGCTGGAATCGGCAGAGGAATGAGGTCAGATTCGACCCCTGGTCCCTTGGATGTTTAGAGTATTTGAACACTCTGAGTTATTTGGCCAGGGTAAATAGTTCTAACTCTACAAATAAATTTTCCTCACCTCTGGTCTCACTCTCAAACAGTTTTAGGGGAACTGCTGCTGTTAGGGTAGCAAGAAGACAGACCAGTGGCAGAGCTTCTGGCACTGGTAGATGGCTGAGGCCTGACTTCTGTCCTCCCAGAGGTCTTTCTGCTATAAATTAACTCATGGACGCCCCCTAGGGGCAGAGCTGTGACACTTCACAAACAGTTCAGCGGCTTGCAGCTCTTTCTGCTCTCTTTGTTAGGAGCCTTTCTTGATCTCTCTCCATCCATCTTTGTCATTTTGTCTCACAGACGCCACAGGTGAGTTTAAGTGTTGGAATGTGTGTGCCATGGATGGATGGGTGTATCCCAAGGAACCCCCTTGCTAAGAACTCTTGAAATCTCAAAAGACAAAAACTGGGAAGGATTCAAGGGAAGATTTAATCTGAATCATTATTTTTCCTTCCTGGCATGTAATGTCTGGGAAGTTCCTACCTATCTCCAATTGAGAGCATTGAAAAAAAAATTAGGTACAAAAGTATACTGCCTTTATGTGTTGTTGTTAAAAAACAAACACAAAACCAAAAAAACAAACACTAAGGCAAACCAGAGGAACTTTCTCCACCAGAAAAGAGAATAAGACATACATAGGAGAAACAGCTGAAGCCTGGAGCTGGAGCGCTTTCATCTCATTCTAAGTGTTCTGACTATTCCTCTTTCCTATAATGCTAATAGCTTGTGCATAGGACGGGTCTCCCACCAGCACTGAAGCTCTTACTTGTGGAAGCCTCTTATGTAGCTAATGAGCTGCCCATTTGGCCTAGTGAGGAAGTACACTAATGGTTTGTTTTTAAATTTCAGGTGTTGAGAAATATCTCCAGTAATGGGCTGCATCAGTGGTGGCAAACCCATGGCACATGTGCTGCAGCAAGCTTTTTGCCTCAATGAAAGCTCTGAAAGGTTCGCCATCACTGGGCTAGACACAAACTGAGTATCCCCTCCCCAAATACTCAGGATCAGAAATGTTTCAGATTTAGGAATACTTGTACATCCACAAGGAACTATCTAGAGAGGGGCCCTAAGTCTAATATGAAATTCACTTGTGTTTTAAGGTATATGCACCTTAGAAATCACCTGAAGTTAATTTTATATAACAATTTCCTGTGTGAAGCACACGAAGATGGCATTTAACTTTGGATTAGGAGTGATGGCACACTCTCCCTTCCTCTGCAAATTGACCCCAGGATATTGAGCCAGCAAGCTCGGTTGCGTGCTGGAATCAGCAGAGGAATGAGGTTAGGTGTGGAATTTTCCACTTGTATATCATATTGGTATTCAAGAAGTTCTAGAATTCAGAGTATTTTGGATTTCAGAATTGTGACTTAGAGATGCTCCATCTATAATAAATATTGTAGCTTTTGTGGGCCATACAGTCAGTGCCACCACCACTGAACTTGGTCAGTGGGGCATGAAGCAGCCGTAGAGTCTGTAAGTGGCTGCGGGTAGCTGGTGCCAGTCAAATGCTGTTTGTGGAAAAGGATGTGGGGAAACTGGATTTGGCCAAGCAGTGAAATTTACCAACCTCTGTTCTTGAGGAAAATTTGACAGTAACCAAGCCTACAGTTTCCTAGTCACAGAAGCATGCTTGAGGACTGGTCATGCGTGTGTAAACGCTCACAGTAGGTGTATTACCACTTTTCTTGCTCATGTTCTTCCTCACTAGACCAAGTAGGATTTTCCAACACTATTGTAGCTGTCAACTGAATCAGAGCCCCCCACTTTTATACAGTATATTATCCATCTTTCATACAGTCTATAAACTTGACCTACTGGTCTATGTTAAATGTTTTGGTATTTCATTTTAACACACGCGCTCTGATACCTGCTCCTTACTCTTGTGCAAAGAAGTTGATTTCCAAGCCTACTACCAGCTGAATGTGGGATTCAGAACCAGAAACTTAAAATGCTTTTTACTTCATGTCACAGCTAGCTGGCTGTGTTCTAAAACTAGCTTCGTTCTAGAAACCTTTCCTTAAAATAAAAGCACTAATTGCTCTTGCCATGGTGTGTCCTAAATCTGCTCTTTCCACAAGCAGGCTACATTGCTGCCAACCACCTGCACCCAGATCCAGTTCCCATTGCCCCTCTTCTGTACTGGTCTTGTTACACTGGACATTTGTCTTATGCAGCTTGAAGAGGGCACTAGGGTCTGTCTTGTCCTTTGGCTAAAAAATGAATGTTTGCGTCAGGTGATGCAGAGTGGAAGTCTGGGCAGGATTCACTGGACAAGAGGACTCTGGTTTACAGAGGTGCTCCTTGAATCACAGGACAATGACAGCATCTTAACTACACATTGGGCCTTGAATCCTGGCTCCCACCCCCATCTCCAGTGCCACTGAGACTAAGCTCATCTCCAGTGTCTCTAGGGTCCTCATCCTTCTCCATTCTTGGACTAAACTCCGGCTTCTCCTGTGACCTCCCTAGGGTGGCTTAATCTTTGCTCTCATTCCATGCAAAGGCAGGGTAGGTAGCTCTTTGCTGCTCCTGAACACTGTCTTTATTTCAAGTCGTTAGCTCCTTTGAAGTCACACATTCAAACTGAACTTCCTGCTATCCATCCTTCGGGCCAATGGAAGTTCTCTGAGTCTGTAGTGATGCAGCTCTGCTATGTCCATCACTATTCGCACCATGATTCTTGTGACTCAGATACCCTGGTCTCATTGTATTCAATGGGCTCAGTCCTCTGTTTCCTTGGTTACAGAATAACTGTCATCACTATAACTGTATCTCCTGAGCAAGTCTCACTCTGTTGTTGCTTCTCTCTTTTTACTTTATTCCCTCTAGTATTTTGATTCCATCAATAATTCAAATCCATTAACCTGACTACTTTCTCCTGTCCATAATTTGCATTGTAACTACCTTCGATTGTGATTATAATGATGGATTTAGCACTCTCCTTAGCATACGTGTTTAACCAACTTCCCTTTTTAATTCTTTTCATTGCACTCACTTGGCAAACCTCAACTCTGGTTGAATCTAACTTTGTGCCCTTGTTTTACCTAGACCAGGCAAATGCTGCTGGGAAGAAACACTACCACATAGATTAGTCTTTAAATCAACAGTATAAACCTCCTGTGTCTCCTTGAGCAACCCTATCTTCTTATTCAACTGGTGATCTCGCTTCTTATTTTACTGAGAAAATAGGAATCATAAGAGCATCTCTTGTTCCTCTCACAATATTTATAATCTATTGTATCAGGAGCTACCTACACTACTTCCCTTCCTTTGAGAGATGAATTACCCATCTTCCCATGCAATGAACTGCATCCCTTCTTGGTTTTCTTGATCATGCTTTATTTATATTTTGTCTCTCTTTACAGCCTCATTCCTATTAGCTCAAGGCATGCTATAACTTCCTTCAGCCTGCATCCTATGCCAGGGGATACCCTATTTTTCTATTTTCATTCAGACCAAAATTTGTTGCAAGATCTGTCTGTCCTCTCTGTTCCATCCTACCTCTCATTCTTTGAATCCACTCCAGTCAGGTAAGCATTTCCCATCCTCCACTTACTTTTCCATTAAGATTACAGGTAATCTCCATATTACTAAATCCATAACACTCAGTGCTTTTGCTTTCAACTTGGCCCAGTATTTGACAGTTGGGCAATTTCTTCCATCCCAAGACATTTCTTTCATGTAGCTTCTTGGACTTTGCTCTCAGATTTCCTTGCGTCTCACTGGCCACGTTGTAGCTCCATTTATTCTTGATAAATCCTTTTGTTAGTCTCAATTTGTAAACCCTGGGGTCTTAGGTTACAGTTCTTGATCTCTCCTCTAATATTCTCATTGCCCATGGACCTCTTTGAGTTACAAGGCTTTAAGGGCCCATATGTACTCATGCACATCAAATTTATATCTTGAGGCTAGAGTGAGTCAGACTCACATTGATCTATCTCTGTGGCATCTCTGTATGAATGTTTAATTGGTGTCACATGTCAAAACCAAACTCTTGTTTCTTCACCTAATTATTCAAGATCAAAATCTTGGGATGACCTTCAGTACTTCTTTTTTTTCCTATGTTACACATGAAATGCCTTCAGGCCCTAATGGTTTTTACTATGGAAATATATAAAGAATCTGGTGATCTCCATTCCTGATACCTTCACCTAAGCTTCTGTCATCCTATGCTATTTTTTGTTTTTAGTACCAGGAATCAAACTTAGGACCTTGAGCTTGCCAGGTTGTGTTACTGAGGTATTTCCCTGGCCCTCCTTTTCTAGAATATTGCAATAACTTATAAAACCATTATTCCTGTCTTCTCATGTCTCTTCTATGGTACCTTCAATCCTTCTGGAGCAATTAGTAATTTAAAATTTTTAAAAAAAAATTATTGATGAGAGGCTGGGGAGACGGCTCAGTGGAATAAGCACTTCCCTGGCAAGCATAAGGACCTGAGTTCAATACCCGGTTCTGAAAAAAAAATTAGTGATGAAAATGTTCTGAAATTAGATAGCAGCAATGGTTCTACAACTTTGTGAATTACTACAATCCATGGTACTATGCACTCTGTAAAGGTGAATATTATGTTACATGAAGCATATCTCAAGGGAACAAATAAGTCAAATTTCACTGTCTAGACTCTCCCTATCCTTTTTAAATCTGATGTAAGATCTTAAAATAGGACCAGTGTATCTCTGTCCCTTGATCATTGCTTCCATTTTACTTTTACCTGCCATTGGCTTCTTTAGATCCTCTCTACTTCAAAGTCTGGTGGTCTTCTTTCAACTAAACCATTCTAAAACAATGCCCTTTCACAGAGAGCAAATTGGCCAAGCAATGGCTGTGACTCATCCACATGGTTGACACTGACAAAAGATGTGCAAACTGCGGTACAGGGTTACAGGATAAATCCTGATGGGACTTGATTGATCTTATCAGAAACAAAAGTTACATTTCTTGTTATATAGGTCTTGCTTTATCTTGGTCTTAGCCATCCAGCAGAAAAGTATAAAAACGAAGTATAAAAAGTAAAGCCATATTAATATGCTGAGCTGTAAAAGACTCAAGTCAACAACTTCTGATATTGCCAGTCCTATGGATAACCCACTACTATTATGGACTACTGGACTAAATTGGATTATTTTGCTGAATTCACATACCTACAATATTTAAATGGCAATGGAATACCCATCTCTAACAAAACTAAGCAAAAAAAGGGGATACAAAGGAAGGACCATTTTGTATTTATATATACAAAATAGGATAGATATATACCTACTTTCTCTTAATTCAATGAGAGGAAAGATTTGTACTCATAGTATTTGGACAGGATATCATGTCTGCATCTTGTACCATGAATAACCACTAAGAAGATAAAAATATGCAATGTATTAATTATTGAAACAGTCCCATTAATCAGTTTTGAAACTGTCTCATTGCTGTTTCTCAATAAAATTAATAAAATAAAATAAAATAAAATAAAATAAAATAAAATAAATGCCTTGGGGCTGGGAAGATAGATCAGTGGCATAAGTTCCTGCCTGGAAAGTGCAAGGTCCTGAGTTTGATCTCTGGTACCACAAATTAAATAAATAAAATTAAAAAATAGTAGGCCAATCAGATATTTCAGCCAATTAAAGTGCCTACTTAGGCAGATGAAAGCGGCTGGGTTTGATCCTTGGTGTGCCATGCTGGCCCTGCCCCTGGGGCATGCTGGGATGGTGAATGAGATTGGGCATGGTGGCTTGTGCCTGTAATCCCAGCTCTTGGGAGGCTGAAGACAGGAAGGATCGCTACGAGTCTGATCTGTGTAGACCTTGTACTAAATACATAAAAATAAATTTAAAAAAAAATTCCATTTCCTTTTTCCCTTTATCAGCATTTCTCATGCCATCTACCCAAGGCTTAGGTCAAACCCGTCACACAGTGTTATCGATTCCTCTTGCCTCCATGTTCAGTAGGTCGGCAAATCTCCCTTGCCTTCCACCTACAGGTCATCATTCCAGCCCCAGTCACCACCAGCTTCTGTCCTGTAGTCTGTTTATCAAACTGTTAAAGCAAAGCCCACAAAAACCTCCAGATCATGTCTATGTATAAAACCCTTTTATGGGGCTCTACAGTTTGCATCCAGCCAAAAGACAAAGTAACTGACATTACCAGAGCCCACATCTCTAAGCTTGTGTTCTGCCCTTATGTTCCATGTTCAGGGTAACCTTCTGAGTACACCCATTTCTGATTATTGTTTTAAGAACATGCATTTCCTGACAGATCACAGCATCAAGACTTAGCTAATGGGTCCATCAGGCACTTTTTCACTGGCTAGCCTCTGTGTGTTCCCATGGAACCAGCACCATTCCTTGCAAATGTCTCACTCAGTTCCTTGTTCATCACCCAGCCTCTCCATCAGAGGTCAGCTCCATAAAGCAGGGCCATGCTTGTCTTGCACACACTGTCTTTGTTACCATTCCATGTTATGAACTCTGGTGAATTCTAGCTTCTCTGTGCCTATACCCTTATCTTATATCCTATGGCACTCACAGCCTGCACCATTTTTTAAAATATGTCACTATGTGATGCCTTTTATTCTGTTGTGTTGTAAACCTTGGCAGGCTGAAACACTCTTGAAAGCACACAAAGGGAGTACTGGGCATGGGTGGCACTGTGTACCTGGTAAGTCTCGATGGGGCGGTTTTCCATGTTGAGATCCCAGACTTTCACGGTCAGATAGTCCCTGGTCATGATATACCTCCCACTGTGGCTGAACTTCACATCCGAAATTGAAGAGATAATTTCGGAGAAAAATGATCTGTTACTTGGATCTTCCGGCTCTTCAAAAACTGCAAGAACAAAAGCAAAGCAAGGTGAACTTCTCACACCTTCATCAGTGGGCTCTACTATGTTTGGACCAGTCAGAAAACTAACTGTACAGTCTGACACAGTAGGGTTGGCTGGTGTCTTACAGTTGCTATGCAAGAGACCAGCAGCTCCCTGGAAGCAGAAAGGGTTGCAACTGGTGTGACAGTCCTTTCTCTTGGGAAGGATCACATGGGACCCACCCATGCATAGAACTGGCACTGTTTGCAAGCTGCCAGTTGACACACCCAACTCCATTTCACATTTCCTGTGGTCTCTAGTGTCATCACATAGCTACAAACTTGGAGTCATCTTAGATGCTTAAATATATAATTTTACAGAGCTGTAAGTCACATACACCAAAATATACTCATTTTGAGTGTACTGTTCACAGGCTTACTACCACATATTCATGCAGCCATCACTACAATAAATTCAGAATGTTTTCACCAATCTCCTCCAACTCCCCTGAACAAGTATTGGCAGTTACTCTACATTCTCCACTTATGCAGTCCCAGGACACATGAAATCTACTCTCTAGTTCTTGTGCTAGAAATTTCCCATAAATGTCAACCATTTATGCCTGTTTGTTGTGGTTAACTGTGCCTGGCTCCTTTCATTTACCATAATATTTTCAAGTAGTATCCACGTATCTGTATTTTACTCTTCATGTGGCTGGGTAATATTCCATTGCATGGATCTACCATGTTTTGTTTATTCATTTATCAGTTGGTGAGTATTTGTGTTACTTCCAGTTTTCCAGTGTTTTGTATAATGTTGCCATAAATGTTCATGCACAGTTTTTAATTTTTATTTTTTAAAGAGAATAAGAAATAGTAAGAAAAAAAACCATTAGAAGCAATATAGAATTTCACTAAACCAAATGAGAGGAGTTCAACGATTGTTATTTGGCTTATTGTCATCTTCAAATTAGTTGTTCAGATTATCAGATATAAGTATGCGAAATTTGTCAAAAAATTAAAAAGAAGAGAGAAAAAATTTAAACATTAACAGTTCCTTTCAATAAGGCCAGTGGAAACCATCAGCACAGTTATTCAAACTTGTTTGCACATACATATATATTTATTTTTCGCTTCCTTCTTTTTTTCCTTTTCCTCATCCCAGTTGTTCCTTTCCTTTGAATGGGTTCTTTCCCTTTCACAGTATCTATTGTACCTTTCAGGTTTTATTTACTCTTTCATGTCTTTTTTGGGGGGCAGAACTGGGACTTGAACTCAGGCCCTTGCACTTGCCAGGGAAGTGCTTATTCAGCCCTTCATGTCCTTACACTAGGGAGACAATACAATGTTCACACATGTGGGTTTGATTTATTTCACTTATGAGTACAGTCTCTCGTTGCATCCACTTACCTATCAAAGAATTGAGTTTATCTTTTTTATAGCTGAGCAATACTCAGGGACATAAGTTTCCATTTCTCTTGATATTGGTATTTCATGTAGAGCTCTGTGCCCCAGCTACCTTGAGTTGAAAGTCAAAATTGCACTTACTTGTGGTGTGACCTTGGCCAACGTATTTCTCTGTGACCCACGTGTCCTTATGGTTAAATATGGCTGCAATGTCTTTCATGGAAATTGTCTATTTGATCTGATGTCCACACTCTCACTGTCCTTCTCCCTAGTTCCAGATTTCCACTTATAGGGCAGAGGGTACAGCTCCTCAGCTCCTCAGCATGACATGGAAGTCTGTCACTAATCCTAACTTTTTTCAGCTCATTTAGGTTGAGCACACAGAACGTTTCTTGAGCATTCCTGTTTCTCTGTGCTGTCTGATTATTCCTTCTTCAATGATCCAAGTTCTCTATTTCCATACCTCATCTACTACATATATTTCACCCCGAATATTTTCTCTTCTCTGAAGTCCTAGCACATATGGTCAGCCCACTTATTTAGTATTTGCTTAGGTAAGGTTATATCTTACCATTTCTCATGATTATTTAGGTGTATGAGTTTTCCTTATGTCTGCAATGGGACATAAGA